GGACTACGGTGTAATTTTGTGTTATGGCTGATTGTAATCCTGGCGCTCCACAGCTTACCTAAGCATCACTTTATTTTTCTCCTCTAATTTTTGCTTGGTAACCATCACACTGTCATTCATTATCTTACTCAGGTTTTCAGGTTTATAGCATTGAGCTAGCATCCATATGAATCTGCTTTGAATTTGGAGCTCCAGGCATTCAAAAGATGTTCCTGAGGGATCTGTAAGATCTGACACTTATAAAATGTCAACCACCTGGAAGTTGATTCGTCCTCATCAGCAGTGCTCTGCATCATCAGAGGTAAGATATAAATGGAAGAAAAGACTGAATATTTCATGCTCACTGCAGCAGGATACTTTAGCTAGGCTGCTGGACAGTTTGGGTTTTTAAGTTTGCTGTTTTTCTCCCTTTATGCACATTTCAGCGGTCTGATTGTAATTTACGTCATCTTCACTGGGGTTAACTTCTCAAGAATGGATACATACTTACAGATAAATGTTGCATTGGTTGTTGGGTTTATGTTAAACTGTGTTCTCATTACTGTGTGCTTAATCTTGCCACTATTTTGTCTCAATTGAAAAAAAAGCACTTGTTACAGTGATGTGCCAACATTGCATTTACTATGCTGCCACTGTGGTGCTGCATAGGCCTTGTTTAACTTGCTGTAATAACAAAATCACTGACCACCCAGAAAAAGTTGATTACCAAAGATTTGTGCCCAGGGGCAATTAACTTGATATGGGTGGCAGGCCTGCCTAAACCAGCGTCCTTACACACACTAGTATATATAAGTATAGTATATATATAACTTGGAAAGAGCAAAAATGAATCCTAATGTGAGCTCTGACTAACATCACCTATCCGGTTCTTCTGTTCAATGTACATGGACAGATGATACTGCTTTTAAATTAATGATGAAAACTAAAAACAGTGAATCTGGCCTGTCATTATTGTTATGTATGATTACACTAACTTTCTGGGTGGTGCTGAATTTGCTCTATAGATATGACTTTATTCTCAATGAACATGACATATAAGGACTGACTGGTGTGAATGTGTGCACAAGTGAGCTTTACTATGTTTCTGAAGTGACAAGCAGAGCACAAGGCCTTTCAGCACTAACTCCACCGATCAGACCTACAAAGCTGAAGTAAAATACAGATAAACCACAATAAGCATGTTATCACCCATTCTAGGAAATTTTGTCACAGAGAGAAACACAGAAACTGTTCGTTCAAGATGATAAACTTTATATTTAAAATTATTTGTGGTAATGTTAACCATTAGGTCATGGTCATATTTCTGCTTTCAGAACAAAACCTCTTATCTCCACTTTTCATTTTTCAGCTTGTGATATAATTTGACAATGCCTGCTGCTCTTTACATAGTTTAAATTTCATAATGAATGGAACACAACAACATTACTTGGAAAAAAAGTAATGGGGAGATTGTTGTATGTTCATATGTAGAGCACAGTTTAAACTCTATGCATTTCTACAGTCATTAAACTTTATCAAACCAATTTCATTAGGCCAGCTCTGCTATCATTGGTCAGTATATGCAAAGTCCAGTTCTAACTGTACTTCGTTGCTCTAGTTTTATATTGTAAATGTTATGTTCAGTGCTATAAAAAAAGTTGAGCTGTATGTTGACTATAACCTCTTGACCTTGTCCCGTCACTGGTCTTTCCAAGTTTGTACCCTTGACGACAGACCTTCAAACCAGGTCTGTACAGTTCTGCAACAGTAAATCTAGATGGAGGGTTCTTAAACCCTCTGGTACATATTTCTATAGGCTCAAACAAAAAAGAGTCTGACGTAAACTCTAACTAAAGAACCCTACGTCACCTATACCTTCCCATTCTAACAGTCTGCATTCAACAGCCAAAGTCTCTCACCACCCAGTCCAGCATCATCAAGTCCCACAAGCAGATGCTCTAAAAAGCTCACCTACTGTTTATGCTGTGTGCTGCTTACACACTCATGATTAAACTATGAGGATCAGTGAGGGACGTCAGAGACTCAGTAACATCCACTCTTCTAGGATGTCTATAAATTATACAGTTTATTATACAGTATATTATTGTGAACTGAAGCTAAATCTTCACTTTTGAGCACTACTCCTGCTACATGTGATATTTTTGTGGTTTCTGCAGAGTTGTGACAAAGTCCACTAATAAAAAACTGTAAATGTATCAGCTGTGAAGACAGAACTGCTTTTTTGCTTGAACACAGTGAACAAACAAGCTGAATAAGCTTCTCTGATGTGTCCAGTGTGAAGGTTCACAGTCCATCAGTGATCTCTGAAAGCTCTGCTGATTCCCACAGAAATGAAGAGAATTAGTACAAAATAAATGTTTTAAAAAGTTTGTTATTAAATGTTGTAAGTAATGACATAATAACCTGAAATTGGTGCACAAGCAAATCCTGATCTTCACCTCATAATACAGTTCAGATACAGTCTGTGTTTCTTCAGCTGGAGGAGAAGATAACGAGCATGTGTGACACAGAAGCCCACATGAAGGTGGAGAATCCAAGATCAGCTTTAATACTTACAGTTCAGTATAAACAGGCAGATTTAGTGCTGCTTCCTCCAAACAGTGACTCAAAACATGTTGAAGCTTTTGCGCCCCCTCTATTTAGAAACATGTTACGACCCCATGTTTTGTCTAGGGGCTGTGGGACCAGCAACATGTGGCATTAAAAGACTGAACTGGTGGTGACAGGTTAAAAGCTTGAGGAACCAACCAATAGAGCTTTTGAAGCCATTTTATTAAAACCAACCATAATCAAATGGTGTGCTATGATACCTAGTACCACACCAGAAGTTCAAACTGTAAGAAGAAAGAAAAGAACAAAGAAAAGAACAAAATAAAACCTAACCATGCTTGCCTACACTGAAACAAAAAGTACTTAGGTGAAACAAAAGTGAACTGTTCTACACTTGTTCCCTGGCCAGTAATGTGGCCTATGTGGCACATTCCTTTTACCTGGTTGAAGCCCCAGGTGGTACAAATAATCAAACAATCTCTTGTAAAACAAAAAATAAACATGTGCAGGTAAAATACCAAAAACAAACGCACCAACACACGATTTAAAAACACAACCTAAAACACAGCACACAATTGATCAGTCCTCTCTCCAGCCATTTCTAAGGATTCCTTTTAAAGCTTAGGCTCCTCCCCCCAGTTACACCAGCCAGGCCTTTGATTGGTCAGAGGTCCTCCTCACATGACTGATTGCAAAGCAGAAACACCAATGAAGGAAAGGAGAGACTGCAAACGCAAAAACTCCAAAATACGTATTTATATGCAAAACACCCACCCAAAAAAGTAACTCCAGTTGCGTTTAAAGATTTTAGACAGTTCGAACACAACATTTTACAATTTGAAAAGGAGAGGTCTAAAGGTCTAATGTTAGAAGTATTAGAACTAATGCATGGACAAAGTGGATCCTGACCCTATAAAAACTTGCAAGAGCATTCACACAAACATCAAATGACCAAATCAGGCCTTTTATGTGAAAGACCCTACAAAAATGTCACCTGACTCAACCAGATCTGGCTCAGCATTCAGAAAATCACACTAAAGAACCTCCTCTCCAAAATGTAGATTATTAGTGCGTTTTTCATGCCAGGTTATCATTACATAGTTGTGTCATCGTGAACAAAAGGAACTCCAATAGTGAAACAAACTCTAAATGAGGTCATGAGGTACTAAAATGTATCAATTGAATTTATGTTATAAAACTAACAGTCAACAACAATCACTTTTAATGCCCTGAGTGCCATGTGTGACTCAAGTGAGAACACTGATCTAAGATCAAGTCTCTTCAGTCCATGTAGTCCTATCCATGGTATTTAAAAAAGCAGAAACTGATCACAGAACATTTGTATTTGGAGAAGTTTGATACATATTGGCCATTTTTGCACTGTTTGTCAAAATTATCTCAGGTAATTAGAAAAATGCAAGAAATATCTCCGCAGCTCTGTGTCCGAATAGGCTGAAGTTGAAGAGTTTTCAGGTGAATTTATATCATTTACCATTAAGAATGACTGATTGTGTCAGTTGTATCGATTGTATCTAGTTACAATAAGTAACTTTGAAAGCCTTCAACAGTTAAAATATTATAATATTATAATTGCCCATTGCCCATGGATTTCCACTCTGCAACATCTTGTGAATATTAGGATTTTATAATAACCTTTGTCTAAACATGAGTTATTCTCTTGTGGGACACTGTGGCACCCCTGTGAACTGTCAGTCTTTTCATCATCCAAAATACACAAACTTATAATAACAGGACCAAAATGTCATGTTAAGTATGATCAAATATAACTGAACTGGCCAAAACACAGATCAATTATATATTATATTTCTGTTTATATATATTTATATTCTTGTCACCAATGGCTGCTTACAGCTGTTCAGTCTCTACAACATAAATAACTTTGCAATGTGAACCACATTTTCCAGAGATAAAGTCTGAGGTTTCCTGAGTCTGACCATGTACTGCTTCCAGATAGAAACTGTTGAGAGTCATGTTGCACAAAATGACTACTAATCAAGTTACAAATGCCTTCAGTTGTAGTTGTAGTCCAGATTCATTTTGAAATGTCTTACTCATATTTACTCGTTTACCAATAAAGAATCATTTGTAATAAGCATATGGAAGTCCACCTGTCATCAGAGTCTCCCTTCTGAGGAACTGCATGTTTATTCATAAGTATAAAGAATGTCAATCAGTACTGTATGAAACACTTTCATACAGTAAAAGTTGCTCATTGCTGTTTGTCAGTGGTGAACCATGACTATTAAAGCTAGGCCCTCAGTTGGGGCCATAAACATCAAGACAAGGTCAAAACCATGAAAAAAAACACCTTAATGATAATGCTCATTTTTTTGTTTTTTCCTGTTAGTGTTGGGGTAAATATTCTGCAGCATTTATTCACTGTTTTTTTTTTCAACAAAGACTCTTGCTGTAAGGTGGGGCTAGCTCACTGGCAGTGTGGTTATATGGTGAGACAGGAAGGACCTTGGCAGGGGGGTCTGAGAGCTGAGCACTGCAAGAGGAGATATAAGTTTGGGTTAGAGCTAACTGCTGTAGAAAAGTTGAGTTTATGTATGGCCTAGATGTGGCTGACTACTGCTGTTAATAAAGCACTATGACTTGTGCAAAAGCTGTGTCTCCTTTCATAGCAGTGAACGCTACAGCATTTGGAGCAAAGCTATTGCCAATTCACAAACATTTTCTGGCTGTTGTAGATTAAACACAGACATTTAAACTTATAAAAGATATTGCATGTTTTATTTAAAGCTGGCAGTATGACTGAAACCTGGTTAGACTACAGCTCGTATTCATAGTCAGTGACGCCTCTAGGACTTCCATTTGGTGTTTAAAGAATTTAACCTTTTTTGTTTCCAACCAAAATTTGAAAAAAAAAAAAGTATAAAAGTAGTACTACAATATCCACAGAGCATAAATACAACAAACAAATAAACAATATTTTGTTTATTTCACAGACCCCGCCAAGCCTGTCTAAGACTGCTGACACAACATTAAAAAAATGGGGCTAAGGTCTGTTGTGTCTTTAAATATGTAATATGTAAAAAACTAGCAAAGTCCTGTTCGTTTGGCTTTGTCTGAAAGTGTGTGTGGTTTTGTGGCTTTTTCAGTTCTCATTTTCCACACGATCTATGCTGCCCCCTGCGGTTCAGCTCAGACATACAGCTTAATAAAGTTGATTTGCGCTGTCCTGTGAAGGGATAAGAAACAAGATGTTTATGCACTGAACTGATTTCAAATAATATGTATAAGTATATCAAGAAACTAAACCACACCGCGTACATACTCAGCAACTCGGTTTTTCTCTGCTGCATGCTTGGTGGGCTGCTGTTTGTGTCATGGGCTGCAGTGCAGTTCAGTGTAATATCTCTCTATATCCCTCTGCTGGTGAGACAGTGAACTGCATCTGAGCTCCACTCCTATCGACTGTATTGACTCCTACTGATTTGAGCACTGACTGTAAACTGTAAGCTGGACCTAGCTGTTCTCAGTGAGGACCAGGTGAGGTCAGTCGTGTCACCAGAGAATTTGTAAAAAGGAGAATTCCACTCTGTAATGTCCCCTGGGTTTCTCAAACGCTAGAGGGCGCTCCTGAGTGAGTCCAAAATGAATGGGTTAAGACGGAGCATTTGAGCAAAATCATAGTTTATAATTTCTTAAACATTTTTAATATAAAAGAATACATTGTTGTCTTGAATACAGAACAGTGTAAAGCATTCGCTCAACGCTGTTATATTTTTAAGAGCTTTTGAACTGAAGTTATAGGAGTTTAAAACGGTGCCCCATGTACGTCCATAACATGAACACGAACAGCCAGGGAGCTGCTCCGCTCACCAACCAATCAGCATTCAGTAGCAGTAATATTAGCATCCTGCTGCCACAAACCCATTTGCTGTAAAAAAAAAGGAAACATACATTTTTTACTGAAAAACATTCTTCTACATTTTGAAATTAAAGGAAAGTTCTGGGCAAGTGATTAGAAACTATTTTAACATTCAGTTTATAGCCATTTAGCTCCATTCACCCACATTCTTTGAGAACTCACTCACGGGCACCCTCTGGGGTTTGCAGGCCTGTTTTTGATATAACGGGGGAAATATGAGACTGCACCCATGACAGTCAGAGAATATTCTATGGAGATGTTGTCAGTGAGAGAAATAGAGAGGCTGGTCAGGCCAAGCATTCAGGGTTCAAAACTGTAAGGCAGTGAGATTAGCTGAGTCTGTGGTTAAACTGAGCCATCTGTTGTTTCTTGTTATAAGGCCACTTGTGTAGCTGTAACGTTAAATTGAACTTTATGTATTCCTCATTTATTGTCATGTTTCATGTCATGATATAGGGAGTGTGCACAGTAACAAACACCACATTAAATACTCATTGGTCACTTTATCTGTTACAGTTACCACATACACCGACGTGCCAAAAGTCATTGGATAGCAGTATATAAACTGATTATGAAGTGGCGTTACCTCGGGAGACGGGTTGGGAACACCCACACCTGTATAAGTTGTGAAGTGAGGCTGAACACTGGCCAGTGTGCTCAGGGCAAGGTAATGTGAATTATTGGAGTTCGAACGAGGCATGATAGCGGGTGCCAGACGGAGGGAACATTCCATATCCAAAGTTGTGCAGGCATTTATCATTCCTTGATCCACAGTGTCATGTATGTACTAGGAATACGTCATAGTAACTGTTCACCTATAAATTGTAGGTTACCCTGCTAAAATGTCCAGTGAGTATGAATATTTTGTGTGGTGTTTCTGTTATTTTCTACCATATGCATAGTCTTTTTCACTAGAAGAACAAATACTTCTGAGCACAGAGAGTAACCATGTAACCATGGCATTTCAGCTGTACACATTTTGAGCATAGGAAGCTTACAAATTGTGCCCAACACAGTTTTTAACAAACTTGTTTGTTCCCATAAAAGGAAGAAAGGAATTCCATCTGCGATGGTGTCCTTACTCTTTATGGTAAATATGTGTAAACTTTTTTGCTCTGTTTTCCTGCCCTTGTGACACTTGGTATGTGCTAATTGTATAAAGGGTTTGCATATGCGGAATAGTTCTAAACATACTGGTAATTTGCTATGTTTAAATACACACAATACCACAAGTTTTCATTTAGTCTAAGGGTGCTTTCAAACTTACCTTGTTTGATGCAGATCAATTGAACTTTTTCTTTAGTTCAGTACATTTTGACAGGTGCAACTAATTACCATCAGATGTGCACCAAACTGTGGTCCTCCAAAAATCATTGTACTCCATCCACTTCCATGTGGACACTGGTTCAGTTTGTTGTAAACTTTTTTTCTGAAAACCTGCACTACAATGGGGAAAAGCACCATTAGAAACTTTCGCTTCTTTCAGCAGTGCATCATTACTGTACCTTCATCATCATCTATCCTTTATAGCAGATATCTCAGATGTGCATGTCATGCTTGCAGCATGAGCTGCTATTAAAAATAGCTGACAATCAGTAAAAGATCATGGTCTGTAGAATGTATTTTTTGAAAGGTCGGGCCAGGCATCAGCAATGTTTATTCATATTTCAGACATGCATCCATAGCACCACCCAGTGGAGAGAATTAGACACACCACACAGTGACAAAACCATTTCCCAATGGTGAAAAACTTGTATTTACTTTCTATGCATGATATTCAACATTTGTACATTGTTTGTAAGTGATATTACCTGTATGTTATGTAGTCGATTACCTAAACTATGTATATTTTCTATTATTAGATATAAATACGTAATGTATCACTTTGATAATTTACCGATGTAGCCATTTGATTGTAGTAGGTTTAAAACCCTGATAAGTATGTAAGCTGAATATGTATTCCTTTTCCATTTGGTTTGTTTCTTCTGTTCCTTAGTTAACGATCACACTGTGAGTGAATATACCCAGAACAAACGATACCAAGAGAATACATACAATGTCTGCGTGTGTCTTTTAATATGTGTGTTGCTTTTCAGGTAATATCTGTTAAAACTGTCTGTTATAAAACATAAATGTGCTCTTTGTTTCCTCCCTTGGTTTTTGCAAGTTTAAAGGAATAATCCAAACAGTTGTGGTATTTAAATGGTATTTCATTGTCTGGTTATAATAGACTAAGATTTGGAAACAAAGGAGGGCGCGATTCTTGGGGAGGCACTTATGGATTATGTATCCCCAGTCAGAGTTTGAAACAGTGAATAACTAATTGCCCTTTAGGTGAGAAGGACCTATCTGCGCTTTGGCTCCACCTCCAAAGGGGAGGGCATACAGCCAGACAAAGCCTGAGCACAATGCATTTTTAGTTCAGTTCTGAGTTCTGAGAAGAAAAGCTAGCTAGAACCACAAATCAGGGCCAACCTAGGTCAGAAGATAGAACATTAGTTTAACAGATCTGAGCAACTTGTCTTTTGTTCGTCTTCCTATTTTGTTTGTTAGTTTGTGTACACCTTAAGCTTTAAACCACACTGATGAAGCAATCTGTCGACTGGCCATCGATTGATTCAATTCAATTTCATCTCAGCCAAATAGAGGAAGTCAGTCAAATTAGTACTAACTAGCCGCAGAAACTTGATTGCACCCAGAACTGTTGCCAGCAGAGTCAGAGCAGCTTAGCTGCCACACGGACCACAGAACCTCACCGCAGCCACGGACCAGTCTGCAAGCAGACTGAACACCAGAGGACTGTCAATGTTTTCCATCCTTATTCAGTCTTGAGATGCCTGCTGCCCAGTTGCTGACTATGGCCACATCGACCTTCGGCCTGTCCGGCTGCTTCAGCAAAGCCGCTACAACCAAGCAAGACCCTCAGCACATGAGCCTCTCCAGGTCTAGAAACAACTCTCCGAAACAACTCTGCCTGGAGGGCCTGAAGTCAGCCTTCTTGTCTCCAAAGTAAGGTGGTATTCAAATCTTATGCACTCAGTTTTTCAACTCTTTAATTAAAACCCTTTGATAGACATACATATCCATATAGCTACACATGCCCATACATAGGTTCACTCACTGAAGGTCCCTTTCATGCCTAAGTTTCGAGTTGCCCTTCCAGGAACTACCTTAAGCTATAGTGTCTCGTGCTGTTTTAGTTGTGATTTACATTATCTGAGCTGTATGTAATCTCCTAAATCATCGAAAGTGAATGTTATTTGATATTTAGCCAATAAATTCCCTTTTGATTGAAGCATTTTTGGTGTGAGCATGTTGTCTCTTTTATCTTTGGTCGGTAGATTTTGGAAATCTGGGTAACTCTAACTTCTTGTTTGAGGTTCAGGCAATAATATAATTAATAATATAATTGAAAAGGTTTGTTCTGCTACAATAATGTGACATACTTGACATATGTTATCATTAAAACTATAAATATTGCCATATTGCCCAGCCCTAGAGATATTTAACTTCTGTATTCAGATCATGTATTCTAAATACCTCCATTACATCTCATCCGTGTGTGTTTGTAAAACATCACCACAGGTAGAATGACGCTTCATTCCTGCCAAATTATGACCATGAAGCTCAGAGGTAGAAGCACAGCACCCTGTGTTTGCATGTGACGCAAAACCACAAAGACAGACACAGAAAAACAACCCTATCTCACTGGTCACGCAGTCACAGACTAGGAATATAATGTCCGAGGTGTGAGAGCAGAGAGAAGATATTTAGGTAGTTGAGGTTTGTCTTTAAGCAGTGGCAATTTTATCTTCACCTAAGGAGGAAATGAAACTCAGTGATGCAATGCAGAAAGCTCTGGGTGAGAGTAGGCCTTAAATAAGCTGAATATTTTTATGTAGCTTTACTTTATATTACAAATAAATAAATTGATTATTAATTAATTAATTTATTTTTTTAATGAAACGTGTGTATGTGTTTTCTCTCTGTTCTCCCCTAATGCGCTCTCTCTCTCTCTCTCTCTCTCTCTCTCTCTATAGGTGGAGTGAGCTGTCAGTCATCGTCCAACGCGTTCAAGCACAGTCTTGCGGCACAAAAAGGGGCGGAGCCCTTCAAAAGCTGCGCGGACAAGCTGCGCCTTAGTCTACCGGCTCACTCGTTTGCTGTTTGATGACTCGCTTATACTGAATACTGAACTGTTGATCTGTCTAGTTCGTTTTTGCTCTTTTCTGTCTGTTGCTAGATGCCAGTAACAAGTAGTGTTGTTAGTTTTGTCCAGTGATTTATGTCTACTTGTTGTGGTGGTAGTGTTGTTAGTTAGCTCTCTCTCTCTCTCTCTCTCTCTCTCTCTCTCTCTCTAACAGGTTAGATTGTGCGCGAACCTACATTCCATGACACAAGTAAACTCTGCTGTCTAGGCACACTAGGTTGAAGGGAGGGTGCCGCCCCCTGTATATTTGGGAAGGTTAGTGTAGGGTAGTTAGTTGGCCTTGGTTGTTAGGCTAGACTTCAAGAACAATACAGCTCAGGGTCGTTTTTTTTTTTTTCCTGTTTATTTCTTTGGCACCATCCATCTTCCCTTTCTAAGGTAAGATTAGCTCAGCCCCAAAACTGGTGTGTTGTGCTGCTTGTGTATGTCTGCTTGTGCTTGTAAGCCCTACAGCATTGTCTGAAGTCATTGTCTTGAATAAATACTGTTTTGCCATATCCTTCCTCTCCTGCCAGTCACTCCACGCTCACCAGCAGTCTCTCCATTCCTCCAGTTCTACATCAAGCTGTCTAGTTAATTTGTTAACGTCTCTGTTTACTGCCTTAGACTGTAGCCCTTTAGTGGGGACATAACATAGATAAATAACTGGTCACATTGATTTATCAGTCTACTCGGGCTTTAGCAGAGCTCAGTAATGCTGAGATAAATAACTGATCATCACAGTGATTTTATCAGTCTACTCAGGCTTTAGTAAAAACGTAAATGTTTGTAAAGTAGCCGTTAATTGAGGTCCCCTTTAGCGTACGTCTTTACATGCCATGCACTGATATTAAAATAGTTAATAAACAAGCTTTAGTGATGTTTGTCTTAAAGATGGTATTTTTTATATAGTGGGTATTTTAAGAGTTTTTCTAAAGATTCAAAATATAACATGGACTGAAACAAATACTTAATTTCTGTAACCTGATTACTGTCTGTACAAAATAAAGAAAAATGAGATCATTGTATTTGGCAGTAAGGATCTTGAGACTTCATGTCAGTGCTCATCTTGACACCAGACTAAATATCAAGTCAGATATTGTGGCACAACAAGTGATTCAGATCTGAATTTACACAGTCATGTACAAGCAATAACGACAGTAAAAAACATCACAGTTTAAAATTTCACGACACAATAAACCTAGAAAAACTAATTCATGCATTTATCTCCAGCAGGCTGGACTAGTGCAATGGTCTCCATTTTCTGGCCCACCCAAGATCACAATCGGACAGCTACAGCTTATTCAAAATGCAGCTGCTAGAGGCCTTATGAGAAATTAGAGATCTGAGCACGTTATTCCAGTCTTCAAGTCACTGTGCTGCCTACCAATCAAGTACAGAATTCACTTTAAAGTGCTTCTAATTGTATATGAATCTCTGGATGGCCTTGCACCAAAAGACATTACTTATCTGTTTGAAGTATAGAAACCTAAAAGGCCTCTCTGATCACT